TATCAGTTTCACAATGCAGTGTTACTGCACTGCATTCGCTTAATCATTCCATTTTATGGCTGCTTGAGTCTGTTCCTTTCTAGTTGGACTCTTTCCTTTTAGTCAAAACCTCCCATTACTACTTGAAGCCACAGTATGATGATTTATAAGTAGAAATGATACCCTGCTTCATGCTTACAGTCTTTGTCTATCAAACATTCAGGGTTTGTACATCTGTCAACTACTGTATCTGTTTCATAATGTAGTGTTACTGCACTGCGTTCGCTTAATCATTCCATTTTATGGCTGCTTGAGTCTGTTCCTTTCTAGTTGGACTCTTTCCTTTTAGTCAAAACCTCCCATTACTCCTTGAAGCCACAGTATGATGTTTTATAAGTAGAAATGATACCCTGCTTCATGCTTACTGCTTACAGTCCTTGTCTATCAAACATTCAGGGTTTGTACATCTGTCAACTACTGTATCTGTTTCATAATGTAGTGTTACTGCACTGCGTTCGCTTAATCATTCCATTTTATGGCTGCTTGAGTCTGTTCCTTTCTAGTTGGACTCTTTCCTTTTAGTCAAAACCTCCCATTACTACTTGAAGCCACAGTATGATGATTTATAAGTAGAAATGATACCCTGCTTCATGCTTACAGTCTTTGTCTATCAAACATTCAGGGTTTGTACATCTGTCAACTACTGTATCTGTTTCATAATGTAGTGTTACTGCACTGCATTCGCTTAATCATTCCATTTTATGGCTGCTTGAGTCTGTTCCTTTCTAGTTGGACTCTTTTCCTTTTAGTCAAAACCTCCCATTACTACTTGAAGCCACAGTATGATGATTTATAAGTAGAAATGATACCCTGCTTCATGCTTACAGTCTTTGTCTATCAAACATTCAGGGTTTGTACATCTGTCAACTACTGTATCTGTTTCATAATGTAGTGTTACTGCACTGCGTTCGCTTAATCATTCCATTTTATGGCTGCTTGAGTCTGTTCCTTTCTAGTTGGACTCTTTCCTTTTAGTCAAAACCTCCCATTACCTCTTGAAGCCACAGTATGATGATTTATATGTAGAAATGATACGTTGCTTCATGCTTACTGCTTACAGTCCTTGTCTATCAAACATTCAGGGTTTGTACATCTGTCAACTACTGTATCTGTTTCATAATGTAGTGTTACTGCACTGCATTCGCTTAATCATTCCATTTTATGGCTGCTTGAGTCTGTTCCTTTCTAGTTGGACTCTTTCCTTTTAGTCAAAACTTCCCATTACCTCTTGAAGGCACAGTATGATTTTTTATATGTAGAAATGATACGTTGCTTCATGCTTACTCCTAACAGTCCTTGTCTATCAAACATTCAGGTTTGTCTGCAGTCTGTACGTCTGTATTAGATTGATGGCTTGACTTCACCACTGAGTCAATGACATCACGCTTCAAAAGTCGGGAAATAAGCAAAAACGGGTGTGGTCCATAACCGCATCGTACCGTGACCAGTCTAGTCCATCTGTAAATGATAGAGGTAGAGGAAAGAAAAACAGTTCAACATTAACTGTCTTTGGTGTAGTATCAAAATGGCCAATGCATCACTATGCCTTACTGGCCGAAGTTCGATACGATAGACTAGTCATTTCTCGAAAAGGCGGATGCGGCACATTAGAGAAAACAGGTGTATAAACATGCCCACACTACAGACTCTGGTGTTTCTTGTACAGTATTATGTCATACAGTACGGTACAGTAGTGCACATACAGTAGTACCGTACAGTACTGCACACTACACTTTTTTGCAAGGACTGCGCTGTAGCTATACAGTACAGTACTATAAGGTCTGTCTACAGTGTACAGTACGGTAATGTACTGTAAATACTTGTAGAATGTACTGTACTATACAGTGTACAATGTACAGTGTTGATTCTGTACTACAGTACTGTACACTGTGCGTGGTGTTCGTCACTGCATCGCTATGCCGCACTGCCCTGAAAACGATACTGTACAGTGTACGCCCTACCGTGCGGTACGCTAGCAATCTACAAATTGGCAGTAAATTCAAGAAAGCGAAATTCAAACATTGACCATTTCAACACAAACTGACACGCCAAAAACTGCAATTTAATCCAAGAAATTAAGCCCAATGAAAGAATAACTGTCGTCTTTTAAAGCGAATCCAATACGATCATCGAGATAGACTAAGTGCGTTTATCCTAAATGTAGTTGGCTATCGTTGTTATCACCTACAGTATCATTAGCTTAAATCTGTCAAGGTAAGATTCATTGCAACACTGTATCGCGTCGCGCATCATGACCATTTTTCCTTTGGTTTTATTGATTTTATTTATTTTTATATAACACCTTGGATGCTTTCTGATTGATTTTACTACTCATTGAATATACTTGTGTAACCATTAAACTACCATTACTGGCTTAGTATTTCTTTCCGTGTTGTACAATAACTTTGACAAGTGAGCGCATTGAAGTCGAGACGGTGTGTATCCACATCCTCCTAATCGGTCGTCGGTGTCTACACTATGATACAGTCCTCCTCATACCCATGATAGGACACCACAGGTGATGGAGAAGATTAATTGCCGTGTTTTTCTCATTCAAGTCTTATATCCCAAACAGAAATGGCTTAATTAGAAATTACTCATCATCAGGGACCAGTTGACCTTGATCATACAACATAGAGGAATACCAATCTGCTTGATTTTCTATATTAAATTCACTTTTGCACTTTGGTAGTCCATTCCTACATCCCATTTCTTGATTGTCCTTTCATGGGAAACCACTAGTGGAAGTCCGAGAACGATTGACTCGTCGTAGGGGGCAACGACTGCCAACTGACTTCACCATCGATATGACATAAATAAAAAATGATTGTCAGTGAAATGTTGGGGGACCGGTAGTTTTCAGCCATTCCTTCCTCAATTTTTTACTCTATTTCTCACATTTTCAATGAAATGGAACTACACCTTAGTGAAATTGAAATGATCCCTGGACAAGCTTGTATTGTTCAAAGAAAAAAATACCGAAATTATTTATATACGCGTATGATGTCTATCCGTCTACAAAGTAGTAAGTCAATAATGTCGTAGTCAATAATTCAATCCTCTCATCATTGAATTAATGGAGTCGTATTTTGCCAAAATGGCTGCCTATGTTAGAAGGCAACCCTTGGAGCTTACTCTTTGCCAATTCCAACGAAAGTCAATCTTTTCAATATTGGAACTTGTCCAATTGAAATAATAAGTGAAGCAGTTGATATCCCGCTAGGCAATTCCTTGACTAATACGGTCGTGTAAGATAGAGGACAGTCGATACGCACTATTTTTTGACCTATTTTACTGGTACTGACAGTGAACAAAAAAGTCGATAGTACGTTAGCCAATTTCTGTAGCTGGAATGCTATAGGGAGGACCAAGCTGCGTGTTTTATGATTTTTCAGACATTATTACCTTGTCAATAAAGAAAAGGTTAATAACTTCCCCCATGGAGAACCAACTTGGATGCCGTCTCTGAAAATAACTGTATGCATTGTCATTCCGTTATTGTATGGCTGCAATCGCCTTTGCTGTCAAACAGTAAATTTTTCATAATACTGCGTATTAATTAAGATAGATTGAAAAAAAAAAAAAAGAGTTTTCCCTCTGTGATATATCCCTTCATCGGATAGGGCTCTCTGTTTTAAGAATCGATTGACATTGGTCTAGTGATTAGTACTCATCGTGCAACCACACTTCTGGTACAGCAAGTGATTTACCATATCGAAATTCATCCAATTTTTTGACAACCTGGTGTATGATCGATGTCAAGTTGAAGACTTAATCAAGCATTACTTTGCTTTTAAACATTGAAGTATAATCCGTGGAAAAAATTGACAACGATACATCTCTCACGATAAAAATTGAAAATTTTCTTAAGCCATTTATACTAGGATTTCCGAAAACATTGTACAAACTAGAACTCGTAACAACTGCTTTCATTTTATCATTGACTCCTTACAATTATTTTACTGTGCCTTTAAAACGTTTTCTTGATTGAATAAGCAAACTGAAATTCCGAGTACGTTAACATCTGTAAACTAAATCGAATAAATGGTAACAGCAAACATCATCATCCATTTCTTTATTTATCGTCATTACAGATGCGAGGCTCACAACCGAAATTTATCACTATCGTCTTTTTAAAAGATGACGCTCAAAAATTTCCATATGATGTAAGTACGACTCCTTTGCAGTTATTTATATTGATTCCATGAATTATCGCCACTTGAATAACGCCTACTTTCTAGTAAAGCTATCTTATTTCCGTTAAACGATAATCTACTGTATTCCATTAACACTATTAACCTTATATAACATTCCAATTTTTTTGCCTTGAGCGATGCTATGCAGTACAATCACGCTATAATGTACAGTACTCGTATGTTACAAATTCTACTGGTTTATCTAGCGTATTCAATTCTTCTGCTGTATCACATAACAAGATAAAATAGATCTCATTTGATGATTAAATACATGTAATGGAGATGTAAAGCATACATCAAAAAACTAGTGATGAATAATGACTAGATTTAATTTGGGAAAATAAAAGTTCATCATCTATACTAAAGTAACCACCAGTATACAATAGTTGCTTGTTCCTCAACTATATACCATACAGTACAGTAGTATAACCAACGCAATCGGTAACTCCTTAGCCGTTCAATAAATTTTGCCTTAGGATAGCTGATAAATGGCTAAAATTAAATTGAATACAGTGCTAATATAAATTCCTAGAATTGATCTAGATTCATCTCGTACGAGTAGTATAGGCGTCATAGTAATTAGACCATAGTCGAGTAAATTGTCAGCGTTCTACAGTCGATTTTTAATTGATTATCATTTGCTCGCTCGTTAGTTATATCACACTATCGTTAATCTGCCAAGATGTGAATGTAGATCGGAATGATATCTATAAGCCTATTTAGATTATCATTTTAATTTATCTTTTTTAGAATAAAACAACAGGAAAGGACCTTCTTGAACGTATTGCTTCCTCCTTGTCAATACGTGAAACTTACTTATTTGGTTTAACTCAACTTCGAGGTAAGCATAGTTCTATAAATTGAAAATAGCTCAATCTTGGACTTGCCATTATCGCCTCAATCTCTAGACGTCACAAACAACACAATTTTTCACTATAAAAGAAACCCTTTTTATTTTAACGTAAAAATATATTTCTGATAATTAATCTGTTCTACAAACTATTTTATTTATAGTGAGTGCTTAGACTACGAAAATAGGAAAGATTACAGTACATCTCTCCCACTATCATTGATTGAACTATCAGCAATAGCTCTAAAATTCGCCATGTCTTAATTGGACTGGAAAAATTTTTTCTTTAGTACCTCCATCTCTTTCTTAAATGTACAACCTTACCTATCATAGCATTAACATCACTGTTTCCTAGACTTATTGTAAATTCCAGTATACTATGCATGTTATCCATGTTTTGACTCTTTTAATTAAGATCAAAATGCCGAAATTGATAACCGGTGATATCTTACTTTATTACTATCACTAGAGATGAAATAAATATTTTCTAATAGATTGAAATGATTAGGAAGCAATTTAAACAATTTTATAACAATGATTCGCCAATCATACTTAAATAATTTGGCGGCATTTATTGTAAAATATGCTATAACGCCAGCGTTCTATATTATTACCAAATATTGTAGCCTTTTCAATGATAACAACAGCCGCATAGATATTAATCCTACATTTACAAAACAATAATTTCCAGATGAAGTCAGATTTACACAACATACTTATTCAATTTTTTTCATCTTTTCTTTCGTCATCATCCGATATGGTCGCCATAAAATCTTCAACAGATGGAGAGCACTATTTAATTGATTTAAACGAGAGAATATCTAAATATGCTCCTAGCAAAGTAAAAGGAGAGGTAATCAAGTGATCAATTTTAATCCTCGTTAACTATGCTTTTTCTCAAAGTATAATCTTTGTTAACTTCCTGCACCGCAGTTAATTTGTTCAAAAGAATAAAATATAACGTCTTCAACATTTAGGTATCTAAAGATCCTTCAACAGGATTCATCTTATATTTTCGTGTCCAATTTTATACCGATAGTGTTACGAAAATTCAGTAAGTCTCTCGCGATAGCTCCTATATTTATTATTTCTAATGTAGAAATAGGGGAAATGTTTGTTTACTATGCCTGTTAGACAATACGTATCTGGTATAACTTATTCTTTCGACGTAATGCAATGTAATGTATTGTGCGCATTTGGAAATTAACAAATTTTATTACTTAAATTCAATTTACTGGCTAACAATGATAATACGGTATATGAGATAGCACAGTCATAATCACCAGTTAAGCGTATTCTTAAGATTGAAATATTTTCTATCCGTTGTATACGGTTAATGGTACTACTGTACGATTTCTAGCCAAATATCCTATCTATGCAATATGTAACGTTCATATTAAATCCTTAATCAACTAGGGAAGATACTACCAGAAATCAATACTATTTGCAGTTGAAAAAAAATATCGTTCGGTGCTACATTTCTTGTACCGAAGAATTGTGCTTTAAATTGGCCTCTTATGCGCTACAAGCAGATTTTGGTGATTTTACAAACTGTTCAGGAGAATACTTCGATCCAGAACAGTACTTTCCACCATGGGTAACTAATTTATATATAGAAATATTTTCTGTAACTTATACAATGCAATGTAATCTAAAACGTTAAATGTTTTAGTGAAATATCCGTACAAACTGCAATTGATATCGGATCTGATAGAAATTTTTATTGATTATATTATACTTAAAATTGCACTATGTCTATGACGGACGAAAAAGAGATGAAATTATTCCAATATGTTACAAATCTTGCACTCATACAAGCTATTTGGAATTCATTTATAGGTCATCGAGACTAGATCAAGAAATTTTATTTTACGCTATTTACCTAATGTACATCGTGATCACTTAGGCATGTCTCGTAAAAAGGCCAAATTTCTCTATATCCAGGTTAGTTGCGTTAGCTGATAGCTTAAGTAATTTGATGATAAAAGACTCTCAATTATCGATTTTAATTAATAAACCAACAGGAAGTAACAGCCCTACAAGACTACGGTTATCACTTTTATCAACTGCTAAAGGTAAGTCCTGAACACTTTCAGTACTTAATTTCATACTAGGCCTGTTATGTATTGATTTTCAGTATTAGCTAATTGCATTATATTTATATACCGTAAATAGAATAAGACTGATAAGAAACCATCAGTATGGCTCGGCATTGGTGCTCGTGGATTATTAGTTCATGAGGTTTGTATTTGAAGTAAAAATAAATATTGTTTCGTTAAATTTCTTGGAATTCTTTTTATAATATTGGCACAAGACAATTGCAGACATGTGACTGTCTTTGCTTAAACAACACAACATCACAATTGGTTAAAATTGAACTGTGCCATGTTGTGCTGTTAATAATTCGTTCAAAACTAACTTTCTCGTCAAAATTTTGCTGCTAAAGAGGTATTTTTCTTTCGTGTAATAGATTCGAAGCCAATCCAAACGTGAATTATATCGTAGTGATTGGAACGATATCGGAAAGCTAAGCCTTGAGGTATTGTTTAATGAATAGAAATTTATTAAAATTTGTAAAGTACGCCATAAATCTATTTCATGCTATAGCAGCAATTTAACTTTGATGTAGGATACATGTTACGTTAAAATTAAGCCCGTCTTTTAGATCTTGAATTTCGATTTTATGTTGCTATAGAAAAAGAGGCTTCGAATTCGGCCTCACAGTGATTCAAAAATCGGCGAGCTAACATTCTTTATTGTAGATAGCAAAAAGTAAGTTGCAAGGCTATATGCGATGCTCAAGCAGTCAACTATGAACAATGACTACCCGTGCATAGCAAAACAATCATGACAAGTTTTAAAATTATTATTTTCCAACAGGACAAAAGATTTAACGGAATTGTGTAAAAGTCAACGACTTTTCCAGGCACAGTTGGCACATCTTGCGGTAGCTAATGGAAGAGAAGAAAGATCAATTACAGTCGAAAATAGCGGTATTAAATTATACATTTTGTAATATTAGCGTAAAGCTTAGCAAATATGTCAATTTCCCTCTGTTAGAGACTATACCGAATTATTTCTTTACTTAGATTTGACGATGCGCTATTGTTGTTAATATGATGGCAGTTATATATCTCATTCGTTAGTTATTTTGACTATCAGTTTAGTAGAATCAATGTAGAAATTTTGCTTAAAGTATTACTATAGCATGAAAAACTAATCCACATGTACGATATTTCGTAACAACAATCGGACGGGTTCTATGTTCATTTACCTATGAATTGCCATTTCGTTCTAATAGAATGAAAAAAATTTATGCAAAAATTTTTTTGATATTTAATAATAATAGACGTAAATATTGATGAAAAAATTGTCAGTGCTGGAAATCGCAGACCGACAGCGATATCTTCAACGAGTACCTCTGACGGTGTAATAAATACAGTAAGTTTCATAGTAGTCCATAGATTTAAGTCTAAAACCACATCACTGTCAATATTATAAAATTAAGAATTTAAATTACGATTAATTTGTATGCTCTTGTATTGTCTCGTGAAATCAAGAATCTAACCAATGGAAACTCTCCTAATCATGACGATGAATTCCAAAACAATGGTATAGCTGAGCCTGATGAAGTCGCTGATGATAACGATGATAACGGACTGTACCGTGATGAAATACCTGAAGATGACAGTCAGGTTGGGTCTCGCCCAGGACTGTATCATGCGGATCGATACGGTCCAATGCCATCCCCAGCGGACTTCGACGATCGAAATAGTGCAAATCTATCTGCTAGCCAAGAGCAATTAGAAGAATCTGATAGTATATATCACGAAGGTTTGTTAGTTTTGGTATTATCCTTTCGATCAAAATTTGGCTGCCACTATTGGCAGCATTACTATTTCGTAATATTCTAGAGCAAAAGTAGTGTCTATTTGACAGCTTTCATTATACAGTACTAGATGTAGCAGTTGATAATTCTACTGCATGATTAATAACAACTTTATTTTAATATAGCACATAATCAAGTTGATGAAGAAGATGACTTATATGATATGGTACAATATGACGAAAACCATGGAGATCTAAATGCTGACTATGATGGTGATTCACAATATAATCATTACGGTAGTAATTATACCAATGGAGGTGATCAATCAGAGTCAAACCAAATCAGAAATTATGCCGGTATAGATAACCCAGTCTTTGATGATCAAAACCAGAACCAAATGCATTATAACCAACAGCAGTACTTAAATGAAGAATTGAGAGGCAATGAAAGCGCCAACCAGGCCGATAACAATAATGATCAATTTACAGCGCACGCTGAAGTACATCAACAACCGTATCATAGTAATAACGACTATGATACTCTCCATTTTAATGATGATAACATGTCTGATCTTGCACAGGCACAAATGATGTTGGACAATGCTAATCATGTAACAGCAGTAAATGACATACAAGCAGAGAGTATTAGTACAATTAAACATCCACCAAAAACTATCCAAATTTCGTCAAATGATGAAATTAACTCCAGAAATCATCCCCCAGATTCAAGTCAAACTGCTCACCAATATAATAATCATACAGTCAATGATGATGACAGCCTATCTCATGTTCAAAAGCAGAAAGGCGATACTACAGCGCACCTAAAACATTACGAGGAAAAATCTCAACGTCGATCTTCAGCGAAGAAAAGACTCGATACGCCGGAAAAGATTTTTAAATTACATCAGCGGCTATTATCGAAAAGCCCAGTACCAGTTCGAAATCTTAATTTTACCTGTCAAGCTGAAATTTAATAATATTAATCCGAAAAAATTGATCAAGTTTAGAAATGGTTAATTTACTCCATTGTATTCATTTGTAACGTTTTAGCTTCAGCAAGCTGTAGATTTGCTAAATCAATGGAAAATTTTTACTGGTATTATTGGAGACATTCTATTCCGTCTATACTATGCATGTACTGGATGTAATTCGTTTAAAATAACCAATAATAGTATAATATTATGAAGACTTTTATTGGTGATTACTGTTAACTTCTCAGACTATACTATACCGCGAATTGCGATATCTTATCTTGGCTTTGTTATCCTTCTTAGGTGAATTGTACAATATAAACATCTCATAAAGATATTATTGAAACTATCATTTACTAGTGACAAATTATTTCTAGATTAACGTAGTATAAAAGCAACAACATTTATGTTAAGCTTTTTGCTTCATTGTCATATTAATAGTAATATATCGTCATGAGATGAAGGATGACATCCATTTAATGCCATTTTATTTCGTAAAGTACAAACCGTGAAAGCATAACCATTATTTGCCCAAATTTAGCGTAATAATGTCCCGAGGTCGTTAATATCATCGTGCTAAGGTGTATATATCTTATATGCAATCTAGTTTATTCATTGGATATCACGGCTTCAATCACCCATATTAACAAAACTTGGATTTAATGGCCCTACAATTATGTTGAATGTTAGATGGTCTACCACATACCTTTACACATCATAAGTATAGTGTCATATGAAGATAAAGTAATCTTTAGCTCTGTATGAAAAAATTAGATCGAATTCTTTCTGGAACGATCACGAACGGAAGCACTATACCCGAAGAAATATAGTAATTATATTAGATTGGTTGACATTTTATTTTTTCTATTTTATTTTTATTCTTGAAATATTTCTCTGACAGCAAAGAGTTCAAGTACGTTAAGAGTAATTTGCTGCATTTACACTGGTTATCAGTTCATTATTATCATCGAAGCTTACCTCAGCAAATTGTTAGTAAATCATTTTAAGACCTGGTACTATAGCAAAAATTTGCTATTATGTAAATTAATCCTGTATATTGACGTAATTCTATGCAGCACAGAAATGTACTGTATATATACAGTGTATAAATGTACGTACGTAAATATACTTGAACATGTGGAAGACTCTACCAACATTTCTACAAGACTACAGTATTGCGTAGATGTTGCAGTTTTGGATATATTTTTTACTATCGACTATGTGTAGATGTTGTATTCTGGAGCGTTACTAATTAACAAATGGCGTTATTTTATTATATAATGTTAGTTTTTAAGAATATTACCTCATTTGCTCTATGATCACTATGTCAATTTACTTTCAAGTATATGCGAAGAGTACTGTCACCTATAATAGCGACATTGAACAAGTCTTTTATCTATGCTACTGTATATTTTAAAGATAACTTTAGCGTTAAAATTCATTCTACGTGTATTTCTGTTATCGTATAACGTTGATCACGTATGATCGGTATGCCGTAATCTAATGTATGACATGTTCTCCTTAAACTCTAATGTTACTACTTTACTGATTATAGAGAGTCTTTGGTATTCGTATACAGTTTTATTCAAAGGCTTCGTCACTTAACGTATCCTTATTTCATCGATTAAAGAGCTTATAATTTGTCAACACTTTTAACGGTACTGATCGTCGAAGTTACTTTGTTACCATTAATGACATACACTGTAGAAAATACTAAACCTGGAGTTTATTTCGATGCAATGACGTTTCTGTATTGTAGTGGCATAAATTTTACCGCAAATTTGTAAACGATATACACTCTGCAAAGCTCTGTAAAATAATAAACAATTAAACTAATTACAATAATTTAATTGCGTTATTACTGATTCCGATACTAATATGCACTGTGGTAGGAATATAATGCATTCTTGAATCAATAGCGAGGCTTGCGTACATCAAAAAGACCGCTGAAGCTGATTCTCTCTCATGGTGTTACAGTCTCAATATTGTCTATGTGTACAGTACTTTAGAATAACTTTAACAAATAATCGATGATGATTTGGCTTTTAATCTCGCAATAAAACTGAGTAACTGCATGCCAATCCGAGTTTTAACGGCGCTTTCAATTCGTATGCAACGACTAGTAATATATAGAACAAATTTCACTTGCATCGTTGTAGTAGCTTTTCATCCATTGACTACTGCTCAACAATATTGTTTTGGCCTTAATAGAAACACTTGGCATGCACATAAGATTCAAGAACAGACGACTAGTAATATATAGAACAAATTTCACTTGCATCGTTGTAGTAGCTTTTCATCCATTGACTACTGCTCAACAATATTGTTTTGGCCTTAATAGAAACACTTGGCATGCACGTAAGATTCAAGAACAGACTCGCCTAAGATTGCGCAAAGTTATCTGGCATATGTGACTGGATCAATTGCCAATAGAGCAACTAATAAGATTAATCTTATTAGTCATGACCTCTGGCTTGATAGTATTATTACCTGACTTCGATGAGGAGTCAATATTTCATGAACCAGCAAGACCTACTATGACTTTATTGTGTCCTCCTTCTATCGAGCCTCAACAATGTTGATTTGGTACTCTATGCTGTATTGTAGTCCTATTAGGTTGCAACATGTTATAGCTCTCTATTGGCATATTTACACAATCCTAGTTTGGGCTTGTTTTATACAGTTTATATCGGCATAACCCATCATTATTACTGACGTTTTTGTAAAAACATTGCATTGCGAACTACCGAAGAAGGGTTTGATAGTTCTGTCATTCACTTTAAACTATTAAACTACTGGAATCAAACATAATTATATGTCTTAGCGATACTTTTCATGTGGTAACAACAATTATAACACATAATTATACAGTGCCAATGGGCGGATATAGAATGATCAACAGCTACACTTTTTAAGCTTTGCGCTGAATGATAATTAATTATACAACTGTCTGTATTAGTTCAATTTAAACAGCATTTACAGTGTGATATGAATTTAAGTTTCATTTTCAATCATTTCGGTACCATACGTATATGTCCTTGATCGACAGTTATAACATTTACAGAAAGGAATGTATTAAATGAAAGTTCTTTCGAAAAAAGACCTTAGCATCGAAATAGCAGAAAACATTAACCAAGGTCAAGTGTATGCAAATATGATCACCAATGTATCAACTTGAGTTACAATCTACAAGATCGCTCTACAGACTACAGCATAAGATGAAGAAGAATCGCGCACTTGCAAAGTCCTATATAGGTCAAACTACTGTACAGTACAGTATAATTTATTTCTTCCTTTAGAAATGGATGAGTAAAAGGAATAGTGGTATTTTGGCAAAATAATTCATACGCTCGTCTACTGTATTCCATGCTCGCCTATTCGTTTGCAATCATTCAATACCAGTCGATGTAAGTACACAATCATTTGCACTTGATGATGGTTTAATTTAATTTTTATTACGATAACCCCAAGTATCTATGATAACACTTGTTTACGTTCTACGGTTTGCTTCGCCGTACAAGAGTACTGTGGGCTCGCATTTCTCAACAATTCAAATCAATATTACGAGAACATTTTTATAAACGCTGGTACAATAGCCTTACCGAAGAATTCTATCGTCATTACAAGACGCAATCAAGCACAAAAGCAAAAATTATGAAGCCTACAAACGATACCCTAGTCAATCTACAAAACATTTTTATAACAGACATAGGAACTATTTTTAATTCACCATGTTATTACTGCCAATTTTGAAGCAAGTTCAAATGATCCAAACGAACCAATTTAGACTGGCAATGGTGATGAAACAATTGTAAAACTCTATTTCAACGATTAGATAGAATACATAAAAGCAGAAATTTTATGCCTTCGGAAATTACTTATTGATCCTAAATACTAAGACCTCGCCGACATCTAAGTCGATAGCAGCCAGACCTACAGTTCCGACTCTCTTGAAGGTGCTAGATAATACAATGTCTCCAGCATCTGATACAGCAGACAAATCGACTGATGTCTTTTGGCCCAAATTAGTCACCACTAAGTAATTGTAGGTATCAGTTCTGTGGAAACGCAAGAAAGCAAAGACATCTTTTGTCGCCTTGATTGCTTGATAACCTGGATATTTGAATGAATCGTGGGATGAACGAAGGTTTGCTAAACTCCTATACCACCATAAATCGGAATGAGTATCGGCTCTTTGTGCAGCAACATTTCTAGTTTGGTAATCACTTGCTACTGGCAGCCATGGCTTGACACCAGCATTGGTGAATCCAGCGTTAGCAGAGCGATTCCATTGCATTGGTGTACGTTCTGGATCACGGCCGACAGTTTTGTAGATGTCAGGATTTTGCAAAGCAAATGGATCTTTTGCTTCGCTAAGATCAATATCGACATGTTGCATGTTGATTTCTTCACCGTAGTAAGTTGTAGGAGTACCAGGTAATAGCAAATTGATAGCATTAACTGCTCTGACATAGGCGTTGCCACGACGCTTAGAGATACGGTTATTATCATGGTTACCAACAACCCAATTTGGCCAGCCACATCGGGGTGCATGAGACATCCAATCTTCCACAGTTTTATTGACACCAGTGCCGGTAAAATCGCCTAAGGTCAACAAGAAGAAATTGAAAGGAAAATGGAATTCATCACCATTGGTACCGTAATACTTCATGATTTCACGGATTGGATTGTATGCTTCTCCCACTGCGAAACGTGGCTTCTGCGAAGTGGAAAATTTATCGATGACTTTACGCCAATCTTTGCATAATTGATGTAGTGGTGGGTAATCAGTAGTCTCATTATGGATAAGGCTGCTATAGGGAGGTTCACCAGGTTTAAAATTAGGATTGCGAACTTCATCGGGTAAAAGAGGATTTTCAAAAACATGCTTGATGGCATCAATACGGAATCCATCGACACCTTTGTTGAGCCAAAAGGAGATGACATCGTAAGACGCTTGGACAACTTCTGGATTGGTGTAGTTGAGATCAGGTTGCTCTTTCAAGAATTGATGGAGATAAAATTGGCTACGCTTCGTATTATAATTCCACATGGATCCGCTAAATACGCTAATCCAGTTATTTGGATAGCTTTCGTTGGCTGGAAGAACGCTATTTGCTTTAGGATCAGCCCACATGTACCAATCATCTTTGCCATTTTCTCTGTTGACACTATCGATAAACCATTGATTGAGATCGGATGTATGATTGGGTACAAAATCCATCACCAACTTGATGTCTTTCTCTCCCATGGCCTTCAACATAGCATCGAAATCGCGTAAATTACCAAATAAAGGATCAATTTGATAGTAGTCGGAGACATCATAACCAAAATCTTTCATGGGCGACTTGTAAACAGGACTTAACCAGACAGTTTGAACGCCGATAAATTTAAGATGATCCAAGCGTTGCATAATACCACGAAGGTCGCCAACACCATCACCATTGGAATCTTGGAAAGAGCGTGGATAAATTTGGTAAATGATGCCAGTTTGCCACCACTGTAATCGTTGATCACAGGTGGCTGGCCAATCGTACTTTCGACCAGCAAGCGTAGTCTTGAGTTTGTTGGCAGGACGAGTACTATAAGTGACGATGATGATGACGACAGAAACTGCTGTAAGGATAAACAGGACGAAATAAATCCAGCAGTTCATACGGCGCGTTCTGGCCGCTCTCGTTTCGGCTGAATATTCCTACAAGGATAGAAAGTAAAAGTTATTACAAATAGTGTGGTAGCAGTATGGAGAGTGGATGTCTAATAATCTTTGACGGAGCATACGTCCATCTCTCTCTTCCATTCTACTCGATGTTGTATTCATTCATGAATTAAAGTAACTCGGTGAGTGATGCATCGATTGGCACCGCATGATTGCAGGCATCTACTGCGCCATGTCTCTCTAATCCAATTAAATTTGTATTATAGAAACATGGGTTTCATTACTGGCAAGGATGATCAGATGCATTTTTCCTTCTTGCCAATGCTAGCCTACTATAATAGTCTACATCGACTGGCTGTGCAGTATTTAAATATCGAAATATTCAAAGTGGACCTTAACAAGAAAACTATCACCCCGTCGTGATGGTTGCCCACTTATTGGCTCCACACGACCATACATCCATTAGACACGGGCACAGTAATGGTAAAATCAAGCGTAGCAGCAATCAACCGATCACCGAATCTTTCTCAGGTCGAATCAAATGGATGGACATGATTCTCGATTTCAACTAGCGTTTCTACACGTTCAATCAGATTGCAAGCATTTGCTGCAACCTTTTCCTCAGTGTAACATTTTGTGAACATTTGTTTACTATCCAAGAAAGTGTGAACTAATCTCTACAATTGATTCTAGCAATTGTTAAGCACCAGTCAAGATAATTCTGAACTGTCAATTCCTTGTTCTCAAGCTATTTTCATTTAATTTACACTATCCGCTAACAGCCTTTAGCGGAACCTTTTCCTCTCTGTACAGTACTATACAGTTACTATAGAAGGTTGTGTCGGGTTGAAGAGTCTGCTGAACATTTGCTCACTACAGCTATCCAAGAAGGTCTGAACTAATGTCTACCCTGGTTCAGCACCGGCCATGATGATTCTGAACTGTCCATTCCGTTTTTGCAAGCCATTTTAATCGCTAGCGACCTTTGGCGTAACCTTTTCCTCTCTGTACAGTACTAGTATAGAAGGTTGTGTTGGGTTGAAGGGTCTGTTGAACATTTCCTGAACATTTGCTCACTATCCAAGAAGGTCTGAACTAATGTCGGATCAATTGCATTACACTAATGTCTACCCTGGTTCAGCACTGGCCATGATGATTCTGAACTGTCCATTTTTTTTTTGCAAGCCATTTTGAATCGTTAGCGGCCTTTGGCGTAACCTTTTCCTCTCACTATACAGTACAGTATAGAAGGTTGTGTTGGGTTGAAGGGTCTGTTGAACATTTGCTCACTACAGCTATCCAAGAAGGTCTGAACTAATGTCTACAATCGATTCTACACTGGTTCAGCATTAGTCATAATAATTCTGAACTGTCCATTCCTTTTTTGGTAGCCATTTTAATCACTAGCGAAACTGGCGCAACCTTTTCCTCTCCTATACAGTACAGTATAGAAGGTTGTGTTGGGTTGAAGGGTCTGTTGAACATTTGCTCACTACAGCTATCCAAGAAGGTCTGAACTAATGTCTACAAACGATTCTACCCTGATTCAGCACCAGCCATGATGATTTTGAACTGTCGATTCCTTTTTTTGGTAGCCATTTTAAATCGCTAGCGGCCTTTGGCGCAACCTTTTCCTCTCCTATACAGTACAGTATAGAAGGTTGTGTTGGGTTGAAGGGTCTGTTGAACATTTGCTCACTACAGCTATCCAAGAAGGTCTGAACTAATGTCTACAAACGATTCTACGCTGATTCAGCACCAGCCATGATGATTTTGAACTGTTGATTCCTTTTTTGGGTAGCCATTTTGGTCCTTTGGGCAAGTTTTTCCACGACAGGATGCGATCATTTTCTGTCGTGTTGTACAGTCTCAGACTGGCTGATGTAGTCATGTATGGGACAGTAGCCTCCTGGTGTCCAGCATAAGTGACCACCTCCAACCTACGCTAGTCCACGATACTGTACACCGCTGCGGTCGAGCTTGCGGTGAACGCGCCACTTTCGATTGCCTCATTTCTGTCACTCTACTCCATCGTTTACGACTGTATGGGATACATCACTGCTTACGCCTCCAAGCAGGGCGCGTTGAAGGCGGTGCCCTGCACGTACGCCGTCTGCAAAACTTTTCTTGGTCATGGCGCCCTCCGATCGCAAGCCTGATGGATGTTTGCAAATGATTTTCTTTGCTCATCCACCCCAATTTCCACTTGGTTCATCATTGCTACGATGAAATTGGACAGCGTATGGCTGTACTCTAAGCCAAGGGCGACCCACATGGAAGAAGAAAGCCAATTGACCCATTGGTTTACACCCCAAAATCATCAAGCATTAGTACAAACTGGACAAGGTTGCATCATAAATCAATCAATTCATCAATCATGAGAGTAAACTAAAACAGAATGCTTGGAAAAAATGGAGAAAAAAATGTCTTCTACTCTTATGCAGTAACCACGAAGGTGGAGGGAGGGGGGAGGGGGGACAAAAAAAAAAGATAGATCCATCTTTTCAATCATGGGCAGAGAGGGATTGGCTGGTGTTGGTTTACGACGGGAGATTAGCTCAGATGTTTTTTTTTCTCATCATCCCTGATCGACTTGCCATTTCAGCTCCATGTTGGCAAATCCAGTTGGAGAATGGACAATGTACATAAACGGGTAGATTAGCACTTCATTAAAAATGGACTACCGGTTGTAGAATGAATCAATTGATCTTGATTCTGTCCATACATGGCAACGTTGATACAAACAGCACTGAAATTACTATCGGTAAAAGTTCATTTTTGCGCCTTGATGACATTGGTTACCAGTGCTATCGCCATGTAAAACTCATGGCGCTCAAGCTTAAAATAACTCCAAGAATAATTACGAGTAGAGTGGAAAGCCCTAGCACCTCTTACCAAAAGTGACACAGTAACTTCGATTGTGGCAACTGTATACTATTTTCATCCAATCTCAAAAAGAAAAAATGTAAGTACAGTACTGTAAAAGGAAAGTATCCTCTTGTTGATATCAACAAAATATCCCAGGATGGAGAATCTCAGTTTGCCCTTTTTTACTTTTTACTCATTTTGCAATGCCCGGCGTTACCATTTAGCGGTGGAATGTGATTACTCTTGAAATGCTAACGATGACGATCAAAAATGGAATATTAGCATCAGCGTCGATCCGTTCTTCTTATTTCAATTATGGTTTAGGAATAGTTGGATACCCTTAACTTAGTAGCACTGTTTATTAATGACATAGCATTACTTTAGTTGAACAAATAGACATGGACGCATTAATGTAATACTTGCAATGGAATCAGGGCCAATCAATATACTGCCAGCTAAAAGTTTCAACGGGTTACGCTGAAAATTGCATTAGTCACTTTCCACTCAATCCCCTATCGAGTGAATGTGCGGCCATCCATTTAGCGACGATTCTGTTAGGAAATTGACGACAAGACATCATCCATCGTCAACGGTAATGCTCTTATTGAGTTTGAATTGATCCATGGCAAGAACATTTTACTTGGAAAGGCGTTTATCGTCGATGTGAAAATAGTAGTCCTGCTTTTCCATGCTCATCACTACGATACTGTACAGTACTTGGTCAACAACGCGTTCTCACATGGACGCTAACGATGCAACAAGTTTAGATTGGATGATGGCGGAACTCAAATCCAAGAAACTAGCGTCAAAGCATGAGCTGCATGGCACGATTAGAAAAAGAAAAAGAAATGGCAATAACAGTAGGATACAGCAGTAAAAAGGTGAAATTGGTTGGCACAGAGGAACTATATAGCGATCGTTGTAACATCACAAGCATCAGCCCACCCAAAAAAGTTTTTTTTTTTTTTTGCTCCTTTACTATTCTAGCTATCATGTCCGTTTTTTTTCCATGACCACTCGTCTATCATGGATGAACCTCGATTGCTACTGGAGACAAGTTTGAGTCTGTGTTAAGACAGGATCACAACACGATGAGAGCAAGTATCTACGATTGATTGATATCGTTTTTTTGCAGGCCTAACCATTCAAACCAATAGACAACATTGGCCGTGCCTCACCAGCATCGCATGACTTTGGGACAAAAGTAGTACAAGGTAATCCAAGATGGTGTCCATAAAAAAAAATCCACCCTTGTACATTGCTCCTTTTCTACCTTCATCTATCCTAATCAAAATGATGCTATGCTTTAATGTAATTCAAAGTATATTTACCACTTCTCTACCCATTCTGATCGATTGATGTCTACCACTGGACAGGACCGGGAGTAGATTGCCACCGCAGGAAGACGATAAAGAATCGTTAAGCGAAAATGACTGGTCAAAGCCGACGTTTATTAACCCCTTGGAATCCCAAGGTGGAGCGATATTATCAATTCAGTTCAGCAGGTGCAGCGTTGCTCTTCCACGCTACCCCTTGACATCAGAGTCCAAACCTTTTACGCTTGGCTCCCACTTGAAACAGTCCTCTCCACCGCCAAACACTAGCGTCCTCAACGTTAGTAACATTGTTACTGTATGCCAAGCCATTATAACCTTTTATTTTGTTGGTTATTTTTTGAAAATTCAATTTAACAGTAGAAACAAAAAAACTGATTTACATAATGTCCATTGGGGTGAAAAGGATGTCCAGAGGTCGAGGTAAACTACTGAGATCGTATGGCGTCGACGAATATACACAATGAATGTATACAATTCAATCCTTTCAAACAAGGCTAGCAGAGGGTTGTCATGTGCTACTAATGGCTAGAATGGCCGACAACGATGAACAACAAATTCATGTTGATTCTGCTGACAATCATGGAAAGAGACTGCATTGTCCATATTCTACTTTGGTCATCAACAGATCAATATTAGCCTTGACTATGGAGAATGGAGAATAGAATAGGGGCACAAATGGGGTGGATCGACTGGAAGGGAATTGTCCATTCCATGGCTTCGTCATGCCTTGCCGTGCATACGGTTACCGACATGTTGAAATAGGCCTAGCTTAACCTTTCCAGTTCCAACTCCTTTGACTACAGTAGTCAATCAACTTTACTAGTCAATCAACTAATGAACTTTCAAAGCGACATGATTTTCCATCATGCACATGCCAACTTTCTCTCTCTCTCACTTTGTACGTTAGACACCCTTCCGTTAAGCCATGTTAAGCTTGAAAGATTCAAAAATGAAAGCTTTCAAAGTTTGTTTTCCCTCCATGTTGATGCTCTAGAAACCAACATGGCTTTCCTTCATTATGCTAACCTCTTGGCGACACTAGCCATATTCGATCCGTCTTAACATAAATATCAATCACTTTACTCTCTCACTTTCTACGTTAGACACCCTTCCGTTAGGTTAGCTTGAAAGATTGAAAAATGAAACCTTTCAAAGCTTGTTTTCCCTCCATGTTGATGCTCTAGAAACCAACATGGCTTTCCTTCATTATGCTAACCTCTTGGCGACACTAGCCATATTCGATCCGTCTTAACATAAATATCAATCACTTTACTCTCTCACTTTCTACGTTAGACACCCTTCCGTTAGGTTAGCTTGAAAGATTCAAAAATGAAAGCTTTCAAAGTTTGTTTTCCCTCCATGTTGATGCTCTAGAAACCAACATGGCTTTCCTTCATTATGCTAACCTCTTGGCGACACTAGCCATATTCGATCCGTCTTAACATAAATATCAATCACTTTACTCTCTCACTTTCTACGTTAGACACCCTTCCGTTAGGTTAGCTTGAAAGATTCAAAAATGAAAGCTTTCAAAGTTTGTTTTCCCTCCATGTTGATGCTCTAGAAACCAACATGGCTTTCCTTCATTATGCTAACCTCTTGGCGACATGAGCAATCTTCGATCCATCTGAACATAAATATCAATCACTTACTCTCTCACTTCT